CGTGTGCCTCCCACTTGCATGGGGTGGTGCCAGGGCTGGGCCGGGACGGCAGGACAGAGCCCGGCTGCAGACGGACTTGCTTATGCAGCATGGAAGAAGCCTGCACAGAGGTAGCCGTGCCTGCTGTCTCCTGTTTTTCCAGTTAGATGTGTGGCTTAATATAGCAGCACTTATGTTGTAAAACATCACTCATAAAATACACAGGATGTGCTGTGTGGGAGCATTCGCAAGCCAATCCCCATCTGCTTTTTGATGTCAGCTTGGATATCGCAGCGTCCTGGCAACGGCTGCTCCCTGCGCTCTGCATGCAGCGGGGCCGAGCCTTGCTGGCGTGCAAGYCTGCAGAAGTGTCCCGGCTTGGAGCACCCATCCTGAGGTGTGTGCCCAGAGCCGAGGGGCTGCTGCTGGGAGCAGGGTTCCGTGCAGCCTCCCTGCGGCAGGAGCAAGGCAGGTCTCTCCCCAAGGCAGAGCGCTCTCTAAGCATCCCGGTGAGTGCTGTGGCCTTCGGCAGCTGCCATGGGCACTGAGTCCCTGGGAGCAGCCTGTAGGAGGGATCAGTGCCACTTCCAGCATTTACCATAGCATTATTCCCATCAGCATCTTTGGGCATTACCATGGGTGCAGCAAACTTTGTAGGGGCCAACTGACCTCGGGGCCAAGCTGTATTCATAGGACAGAGGGTCCAGGCTTGGTGACAGAGGAGATGTTTGGCAGTGAGAGCTACTAAAGCGGGGACTCGTGTGCAAGGCACTAGCATGTCTCAGTCTGTGCTGTCTGGGAAAATGCAGAGCTGGTACCACTGGAGACAGGAGCATGGAGCAGGAACAGTGGGCATGGCAGAGCACGGCAACTGGGAGAAGCGCAACTGGGAGAACGGGCAGCAATGGGGGCAGCCACTGGCACTGCCAGCACTGGCCGYGTACACTGAGGATGCAACAAGTGGCTCTGCGATGGGCTCTGTCTCCCCCAGCATCACAGCTGCACACCCGCATTCCAACCCAGCTCTGACATTGCGGGAAACCTCTGTCCTTGGCTATTCCCAGCTGCGCTGCCCTTTCTCCCATGGCTTCCCCAGAGAGGAGGAGGCTGCTTCGAGGCAGCTGCCTGGGCAAAGTCAGGACACAGTGGGGCAGTTCTGTGCAGTCAGGCATCGCCACGTGCGGGTGCTGAGTGCCCGGGTCCCATCAGGCACACAGGGAAGGGCTTGGCTCTGCAGGGTGCCACATGCTGCAAAAAGAAGGGGCAGCCAAGGAAGGCTGATCCTCCTATCTCAGCCCTGGCCCCAGCTGGGTGGGAATTGGCTGAGGGGAGAGCAAGGAGGCGAGTGAGAAGGAGATGAGATGTTCTTGCTTGGGAAAGCGCCGGGACTCTTCCATCAAAGGGAAGGAAGCCCTAGGCAAAGGTCTCAAGCTTTCATGAGCCGCTTGCTGCAAACCCAGCCCCCGTAGGTCTGTTTTTCCTGGCTCAGGAGAGCCCATAAAACGCAGCGCTGAGCCGGCCCGCGCAGCGCGGCTTCCCTCTCCGCTGCAGGGCATGCGGCGGGGCCGGGTCGCTGCAGCCAGGGCGCTGCAGGACCGGCAGGGGCCACCGGCTCCGCACGGCTGCTGGCCCATGGCCAGCCTGCAGCCAGAGCCCGGCTGGGGAGAAGGGACCAGATCCGGCAACCAGGCGCACAGCTCCCATCTCCTTCCCTGGGCTCCCCAGGTCCCTGCTGGAGCCTTGGAGGAACTGGGGGTGATGGACAGCGGCCACGGCTCCAGCACAAGGGGATCTCAGGGAGCCGTCTCAGCGGCTCTGGCACCTGGGAGCAGGTCTCAGCTCCAAGACAAGGCAGAAGGGGCATGGCTGGGTGCTGCCACCGCAGTGGGCCACCTCACACCCCAAAGGCTCTGCTCAGCCCAGGCAGTGTCTCTCCCCGCTGGGCTGACCCAAGCTGCCCTGTTGTTTCCCACGTTTTCTCCTGCCTATCACTGTCATATTTTGCATTTCTCCCTCTATCTTATCTCCCCGTTGGCTCACCCCTTCGCAGCTGGGCTCTTGTTTTCCTTCTGCCCTCTCCCTTGTGCCCCAGCCCCACCTGCTCCTGCTCCAGCCCGGCTCCCGTGCTGAAGGACCTCGAGGCAAGCCCCTGATAAGGGCCAGACCAAACAAGAACCTTTTGTGCCGCACTGAGCTCATYCGGAGGAGCAGGGAGACGGCCTGGCCTGGGCAGAGCAAGAGAGGAGCAGGAGGGACCTGTCGGTGCGTTGCCTCCACACAGTGTCCTGACGTTGCAGCAGCTGCCTTGGTTTTCCTAGCTCTCCAGCAATCCTTGCTCTTTGCATGCTCCCAGAAGCAGCCCTGCGGCTGGGCAGGGAGACAGGATCTTACTGAGGGCTGAGCCAGGAGCAGGGGCCTCGTCAGGGCCCTGGGAGCCGTGTATCCCACTGAGAGGTGCTGTCAGCGCCGAGCCCTGTGTGCACAGCGGGGCTGGCAGGCAGCAAGTGCAGGGAATAAAGCTCTCCCCCCTTTCAGCCTGCTGCTGGGTTAATATTCCCTCTAACGACAGACGGCTCCTTTTATCCCCTCTCACACTCCCGCCAGTGATTTAATCTTGGAACAAGCCGTGATTATTTCCTGTACAGCTGCCTCCCTCACTTTCAGACTGGACCAAAGCCCCAGGCTTCACATCATCCCACCGGGAAGGGAAAAGACCCTCCTCCAGAGTCCCAGCTCAGGCACGACCCAGCACAGGAGAGCTGTCCTGTCCCCTGGCCTCCTCCTCTCTATCTGTCACACACAGTGTGACCAAGGGCCCAGCAGCCGGRACCAGGGAGCCATGAGGGGACAGAGGAGGGACAGCCTGGGCTGGGACGCCTGCATGGGGCTGTTGAGCACCCGGGCATGCAGTGGGGCCAGAAAATTCTGTGGGTCACTCAGAGTGTCCTCTGAGTCCTGGCACTCCAGCTTCATGTGCTGCGAGAGGCTGAAGGCTGTGGGATGGCAGCGGTGGGTCTCAGACAGGGTCGCTGGAGTCAGCACAGTGAGACCAGCAACACAGACCTTGTCTGGCCCTGGACAACTCCCAGGAACACTGGGGTTTGAGAGAAGGAAGTCAGCACTAAGCGAGCTCATGTAACCTTATGTTCTGGGGTTGGGACATCATGAGCCTCTGGAGAATCCCTTTCCTCTGGGAGCATCTCCTGCCCCGGGGGAACATCAGGCATCACAGCATTGGCCCCAGAGCAGCTGCTGGCATGGCCTGCAGCAGCCTGCAAAACSTCGGAGGACCAGGGCTGGCCCCGGGCCACCAGCAGCACCAAAGCACAGGGGTGCAGCTCCACCTGGTGGGCAGCAAGGTCCCCCCGCCCCGCCAGGGTCCCTGCCACCCCCACCCCAGCCACAGGCAGCAGGAGAGGGCACCTGAGAGCCAGAGCCAGCCGCACTTCTCCTGTCCCCGCTGGGGAGGGGAGATGGGGACAGCAGCCTTGCCCTGGGCTTTTGTGCAGCGCCCGCCTGCAGATGCACGAACGCACCTCTGCCCGCAGCACCTGCGCCGAGCGGAGGGATGGAGCTGGCCGTGCCCCTCCGCCGCTTCCACCTGGGCTTTGCAATGCCCCTCTCTGGCCCCGTGGGAGCCAGGCCCGTGTGACACCCCCTCCCCGAGGGGTCCCCAGCCCCGGGGCCACTCCTCTCCGTGCGGCAGAGGGGCGGTCAGGGTGCAGGGAGCCGCGCGCAGGGACACTGCTGCCCCGCAGCCGAGGGGACCCCTGTCCCCGCCGCAGCGCCCCGGGCTGTCCGGTCCCGGGGGCGGGCGGCCGGGCCCCGCTCGGCCCGGCAGCCGCGAGAGGGCAGCAGCGCCCCGGCCTTGGGCAAGCGGGCGGCCCCGGGCCCGCTCCCGGCTCCCAGCGCCGGCACCGGGGGCCCTGCCTTGCCCCTGTGCTCCGTGCCAGGCGCGGGCAGCCTGGCCCCACGGAGGCGCGGGAGTCTTCAGCCTCCTCATCCTCCTCTTCCTCCTCCGCAGCCACCCCTGCCTGGCTGCTCCTGCCCCGCACGCCAGGCAGCCTTTACCCAGGAGAGTAACAGTGCCACCTGCACAGGTACAAGGGCTGTGACCAGCATATCCCGCTTGGAGGCTACTGGTTTTGTGGAGCCTGTCTTACGGAAGCCTTGCTTTCTTCTAATTGCCTGCAGAAGGGAGCTTTAGGACCTTTATTAATCTCTACAGCTTTGGCTGGGCAGACTTCAACCACCACAAGATTGTACAAATGCAGTAACAGACATAGGGACCTCCCATGGCTATATCAAAATGTCCACACAAAGCTGGGAGCTTCTCCTTCCCTTGAGGGCTTGGGCAGCAGCAGTTCTGGGAGAGATGTGGGCTGTGAGCATGGCCCTAGCAGCAGTCSCGGGCCTTGTCCCAAGCCCACAAGGGGTGCTCATCTCCCACCACATCCCCAGGGGCTGCCCAGCACTGTTGTGCTGTGCAAGGGTCCCTCTCTGCCCAGAGCTCATGGAACTGTGGTGTCTTTGACAGCCAATTCAGGGTTGGCTTTAACTCGTGTGGTTTCCACCCAGAGGAGCTGGGTGTCTCTCTGGCTTTCAAAGCCCTTCCTAGTGCTGCTGCTTGGCAAATGGGAGGACAGAAATAGCTTCTCTCTAGCGGCTGCAGCCAGGCTGCTCTAGTCAGTCGTGCTCTGCTCTGCTGCATAAACCCAGGGCTACCCTCAAAGCAGGGACTAGACAAACTTTTCTAAACACACCTATCCCTTCCCCAGCCCACCCTCACTCACATTAACACAGGATGACTTGGCAAATCCAGATCACCACAGGTGCAGCCCCTCTCCCTTGAGAGTCATCCTGATAAAAGGGAGAACTAGAGGAGGACTGGTTACTGCTACTTGATGAGCAAAGGAGAAGAGAGGAGCTCCTGGGCTGGGGTCAGTGTCTGTCAGGGTACTCTAAGGCATAAAGCAATTTCTTCAGCCTGAGTTCTGCAGATCACCTGTCAGCCCAGGGCTTCTCAGCTCAAAGTTCAGTCATAAGTTGTCCTGCATGATATGTGTGTGAGGAGGGTGTGCTGTAGATACCGGAGCTGCCAGTCCTGCTCGTCAACAGCTTCTGAGAGGTGAGTGGAGACCCTGAGCTCCCTTTCTGTAGGAACTCCTCCTTTCAGAGAAGTAAGGSATGTACTTCTTCCTTGTTCTGGAGTGGGCAGGGAGATATGCTAGCCGCCTCAACCAGAACCTCTTACAAGTGTTGTGGCCAGTAGCTTTACATTCTGGAAGGGAATTAGGATTAGAACAGAGGTCCTATGACCTTCCTCATGCCTGGGATCTTACTATGTCCTGGAGTAGCTGCCTGTGCCCAGGCTGGGAGCCTGTACATCTCTGTGCTGCAGCCCCAGCACAGCAGCACCATGTGAAGATGCTCTGAGACAAGGTAAGGGGTGGCACAGGTCTGACCTTAACCCCTGTGCCCACCTGCACATGGATAAGCAGAGCTGCACATCTCTGCCACGGGTCTCTGGTTCCCTGCTTAAGACCTGACCCACTTGCTGCTTCGCGCAAGGGGAAATTTGTGCTGCACCCAAGCTCCAACAAGTAGAGCAATTTGGTAACCTAGGCTGAAGGGGGGCTGAAAAGAAGTCCCATTCTCTCTTTGCTGCTGTTTGTAGCCATGACTGGTGCCAAGCTGCAGCTGATGTGTGTGTTGTCCCACAGAGGCATAATGACCTTTAGTAGCAAYGCTCCTGGGAATGCTGGTAATATCCCAGCAAAGTCCAACCACGAATGGCTGAAGATTCCTCCACAGGCAGGAGCCTGTACAGCMCTGACACTGACAAGGGCAGGACCTTTTCTCCCTGGCACCCCTGGGTATATTTTCCAGCTGCTTGGAATGAGAATTCCAATTCCATGGAGCAGGGAACACTGCCTTTTCCTCCTCCTCTCCACTGTCTCATGCTGCTCCAAGCTGCTGGGAGCTGAAGAGTTAACCAATGCTGAAGGGAAGAGAACAGCAAAGATGTCCCCAAGGCTACRGCTTGTGCTGTATCATTGCTTGCCAGCCTCCAAGCTGGGGCCTGAAGAGGGAGAGAAGATCCTCCTCCCCTCTATCACATGGCAGAGCAGGTGGCACCCAGGTAAGCTGCAAAACTGCTTCTTTGCCTGCACAAGGAGCTCATTTCTATGCTCATTGCCTCCTAGTCCCAGAGATTTTGCAGGAGGCCTTCACCACCCACAGCTATCTCTGAGGCAGCAGCACTGGCCCGGGCAAGGACTATGTACCCACTGACTGTCTATAGCCCAGAGCTGCTTCTCCAGGACACRATCTGCTCGGGAGGGACAGCAACAGGCAAGAAGGGAATACTTGGCCCTGRAGCTCTCATGCTTCCCAAAGCCAGAGCCTTGGGCTGCAGCTCAGAATGGCTCTAGGCTGGATTTTTAAACAGACTGCAGTCAAATTTCCCCTTCTGGGAGCTGTAGGAGGCTTCACACATCGAGCTGTTCAATGCTGGTAACCGCAAGCTTAACTGGGGGAGGCGAGGGAACTTTCTGGCTTGGTCCTCTGTGTAAATGGCTGCAAAACCCAACTCATCTCTGCTGAATACAAATAACCTTTCTTAATGAGTCTGGGGAAGTCAATTTGGGAGAGATCACATGGGGGAGTGGGGGTGGCTTTATCAAATGAAGCAATTGGAGAACAATTTTTCTGCAGCAGGAGCAAGCAGGATGCAGGAGGAAGGTCTCCATTTCCTCACTGGCAAAATTCAGCTGTGGGTTCTTGCCGAGGCCATGTTGGTACCTCAGAAAGCCAGTCCATCCTCAGACATGTGAAGAGAGCAGGCTTCTTGCTATCCTTTCACTAGGGCAGGGTTCCTGTATTTTGGTTTGGTTGAAGGCAGCTCTGAGTCTGAAAAAGCTGAGTAGGCTTCATCAGGAACCTTGTCCTGACCTTTTCCGTTTGTATTTTTACCCCCTTTATCTTACATCCCTCTTCTGTCCTCAAATCCTACTATTTCAGGCCAGCCCTTGGGTGGGTGATGCTGGCCCAGATCTGCTTTGAATCTGCCCACCTCCATGTGTGCGTTTGCATCTCTGTTCTGCRCAGAGGCCATCGAGGGCTGAGGGCTCTGCCCACAGCAGAGGAGATGCAGGAGTGGGGATTTGCTCCTCTTCTCAGCTGGTGCCAAAAGGGCACAGCCTCTGTCCTGCCCCCAGATTTCACTTCAACCCCAGGCACTGGGAGGTGGGGTGGGAGTGAAGCCCAGCCTGMGCTTTCCTTTCAGACACCTTCAGCATCAGCAGTGCGGGAGGAAGCAGGGGGGCTGGCTTAGCTCCTCCTGGCTGATTATTCATTGCTGCCTGTTAGCCCAGATCCATCCTCCTTCGGCTACATGCTGGCACTGACATGTGTTAATTTTGCACATAAAATGCTGTATCAAAATGCATCATTGAGATGTTCTCCCTGAAACGCTTCCCAGCTGCCTCTCTCTGCCTMGCACTCACTTTACATGCAGGAGCAGTCCAGGCAATTGGGGTGTTTTGTTCCTAAATGGATGCCTGGCAATAGCTATATAAAAAATAAAATAAAAAGAGCTGCAGAATCAATCCTCCAGCTCATCAGAAATATGAGGGAGGGAGGGAARGCAGCTCTTGCAAGGGGCAGGGGAGCCAGCAGACAGAGAGTGCAGATTTTGTTGGTGTTCTGCTCTGGAGAGGCAGAAGCAGCATCTGTGCACATGGCTGGTTTAACATGTGCCATTTTGCAGTGATGCAGAAGCATCTCTCCCATGTGCCCTGAGCGCTCTGCGAGCCTTGGGCAGGGGGGTGGCTGGGGTTGTTTCAGGGGCCCAGGGAGGGTCCCTTTCTCCAAGGTCCTTGACGTTTTCTCAATGCTGGTAATAGCATGGTTGTAAATCTCCTTTCCAGGACTGAAAATGCAGAGTGGGAGCAAGAGTGGGARAGGGAAACAGCACCACGTTTGTGCAGCACGTGCTGGAGCTGTTGTCCCCAGCTTGGAGTCAGCCATGGAGAGCCAGGCTTCACCTGCATTCCTGCAATGGTTTCATTCCCAGGAGACCTGGGGGCTCTCTGCCAAGGCCAGCCCCCTCCCTGGGGACTATCAAGCCATCAGCCAGAGTTTCTCCAGCCCTAACCCCTCCCCAGTAGCCTCCCCACTGATGAATCCCACCCAGCTCTTACAGTTCCCATTGTCACCCTCCCCTCAAGATTTGCCCACGTTTCTGCCCGGTCGTGTGGCCTTGGCTGCCTCCACAATATGCCACTTGTGGAGCCCCTTCGGGGTGCTCTGCTGGGAGGCTTCATCCTTCATCTCGGGAGTGATGCAATGTGCAGCTGCCTGCAGAGCTTGCAAGGGCTCCGCGGCCCCGCTCCTCGCCCGGCTCGCCCCCCGTTTCCCTACCAAGGGGGCTGGCGCCGTGTCCTGCCGCGCTGCCCCGGCAGCCCCCGGCCCCAGCCCGCCGGGGGCTGAGCGGCGGCGGCGGAAGGTCACGCCGGGGCGGCGGCGGGGCCGGGCCGGACCCCCCCACACCCCCCCCCGCCGCCGGGGGGCGGGCCGCACCGGGCGCCCGCCGGGCTCCCATTGGCTGCGTGCGGCGGGGCGGGGAGCGGCGGGGCCGCGGCTGGCTGCAGCGGCGGGCGCCGAGCCCAGAGCGGGCGCGGCGGAGCATCCTCGGGCACCGCGGCCCCGGTGCGGGCCGCCTCCCCCGCAGTCCCGCGGCCTCCTATGGGCGGTGCCGGCTGCCCGGCCCCCGCGGCGCTGCACGCGCGTCCCGCTCGGCCTTAGCATGGGCACGGTGCTCTCGCTGTCCCCCGCCGCCTCCTCGGGCAAGGGCGGCGGCGGCGGGGGGCTCCTGGCCGACAAGGCGCCGGGCAAGGTGCCGGGYAAGGGCGAGAGCCGGCTGAAGCGCCCCGGGGTGCTCATCTCGGCGCTCACCTGGAAGCGGCTGGTGGCCGCCTCGGCGAAGAAGAAGAAGAGCACCAAGAAGGTGACGCCGAAGCCCGGCGGCGGGGCCCCGGGGGGGGCCTCGGGCCAGCCCGACCCGCTGGTGGTGCAGCGCAACCGCGAGAACTTGCGCAAGTCCCTCGGGGGRCCGCCCGACGGCGCCAAGCAGGGCCCGCTGGCCGTGCCGGTGCCCACGGTGCCCTCGGCGCCGCAGGAGCTGCACCCGGGCTCCGGGGGGGGCAAGCCGCCGCCGCCGCCCGCCAGCCGCGCCCCGGGCTCGCCGCGCCGCGTGGTGGTGCAGGCGTCCACCGGCGAGCTGCTCCGCTGCCTGGGGGACTTCGTGTGCCGCCGCTGCTACCGCCTGAAGGAGCTGAGCCCCGGCGAGCTCATCTCGTGGTTCCGCAGCGTGGACCGCTCGCTGCTGCTCCAGGGCTGGCAGGACCAGGGCTTCATCACCCCGGCCAACCTAGTGTTCGTGTACCTGCTGTGCCGGGAGGCGCTGCGGGGCGAAGACATCGGGAGCCAGGCCGAGCTGCAGGCCGCCTTCCTCACCTGCCTCTATCTCGCCTACTCCTACATGGGCAACGAGATCTCCTACCCGCTCAAGCCCTTCCTGGTGGAGGGCGACAAGGGCCGCTTCTGGGAGCGCTGCCTGGGCATCATCCAGCGCCTGAGCGCCAAGATGCTGCGAATCAACGCGGACCCGCACTACTTCACGCAACTCTTCCAGGACCTCAAGAGCGAGGGCGAGGGCGGAGACGGGGCCAAGCACTGGACGATCAGCCTGGACCGCTAGGAGGTACCGGGCCCCCGGCGCCGGGGGCGGAACGGGCCGCGCACGGCGGGCCGGGGGAGGCGGAGGACTCCCGGCTCCTTCCCCCCTCCCCGGCCACCAGCGCCGCGGAGACGCTGCCTGGACCYCCCCGTGCTCCGGATCCGGCCGCTGCCCCGGCTCCCCGCCGCAGCAAGGGGCTGCGCTCCGCCACAGCGAGACGGCGGCGACGAGCGGAGTGGGGTGGGGGCGAGGGGGTCCCCTCCCGTGTGCGCGATGGGAAGGGCGGGGGGGCTGGCGGCGAGCGGAGGCTCCTGCATATGTTTTCTCTA